TTTACAACCACAGGAGCCATTACTCTCCAAGGAGAGAAAAAAGTCACAGAAAGGGAAGGAAATGCAGGCAGGCAGGTATGCAGGACCTGATTCTAGCCCCATTTACACTGACTTCAGCACAGTTATTCCACTGTGGAGGACACGAGAGTTTTCAGTTCTAAGTGTTAAGGATGGTGGAGAACAAAAATAATGAAAGAGTAATAGCTGAAGTTCTTCTAGTCTCAGTCACACAGCAAATATCTTCGCCACAAATAATTGAGATTTAGACCTCCTAGCAATTCTCAGTGGCCATATTATAAGTCATATAGGAATTTTATGAGACCAAAGCTGTAATAACATGCTCTGGCTGAGCAGCAGAATAGCTATACAATCAGTATGTTTTTGCACGCTTGCATTTTTGAGTGGATTAGTATTGCAGCACAGTCTAAAATAACAGCATAAATTTAACGGTCTGGCAGTCTTAAAAGTAGTGAAGTATAATAACAGGTGTATTTATTTGTGCTGTGATGTGTAACTGACACCACTTTAATCCTGCTGAGATTAGGCTCTGTTTTAAAACAGAGTACAAAATACCCGGGGCTGGAGCGAAGATAATCTTAATCAACTGAAAATCAAAAGGAAAAGACAACAGGTAGCACTGTAGACATCTTGTGCAGAGGTAATACATATATGTCACACATCTGCAAAACCTACTTCCTCTATTAGCCAGCCCTTTATTAGAGACATTATATTCAGACAAATTGAACAAATCCTAAAACATGTAAATCCCTAACACTACAAATACATCTCTTCCCAAAGTTATGAAGTACTATAAAATCACATAGGTTTCTATTTTTCTTGCTTTTTGACATGATTGTTGTTGGATACTTAAAATTTATGAGTTCATAGATGAGTCAAACCTTGCAGTATACCAGAACTGGAGATGATACCTCTTCTAACTATATGTGCTTTACCACAAACATTAAAAACAATTACTTAGGAGCAGTCATTTCTAGGAATTCTGAAAATATTTTAGTTATAATTGTTATCAAGTCATTACAGAAAAGTCTGAAACATTTCCTTTAATCATTCAGTACATAGCTCCATAACTCCATACACTTGAAAACTATAATTTCGCTATAAGTTTTCTTCTTACATATGTGTCTATATGTACATACACACACATATATATGCACTATTATAAAATGAGTGTCAAGAAAAGCAGGACCTTTACATTTCCACATTTTTCCCTATGTTTGCAATAGGAATGAAACTGTAGATACCACCTGTGCCATCTACAAAAATTGGACCAGCTTGACTTCAAATCCTCTTGACACACCCAACAACCACTTACGCTCTGCTTTTCCCATCAGCATTTTTCATTCTTACCAAAGTCAGTTTGCTCTAAGAATATATTGTTAGGCCATACATTCAGTCTTCATGCAACAAACCCCTCTCGCTCTTACACTGCCTTGAAATTACTAAATCTTGTGCCTCACCCAAAAACCATGCTTGCACTGCTCAACTCCCCCTTCTCAGTTTTTACCCTGCTGTGCACAGGAAAACGAGTTTGCAGCTGTGGTGTTTACTAGACCTAGTCATACACATAAACTTTAAATATTTCTTATTTTTGTGCTCTTCCAGTAGTTCAAAAAGTAGCCTAAACCATGCAACATACAAGCAAGCCTTACAGGGCCTGATTCTATTTGTGGAATGGTAAATCATCAGTAATTCCTCTGAACTCAACTAATCAAGACATGCTAATTGCCACATCTAGAGTGCCATCAACTCACAATGTAGGGATAGAGGGAGCTCAGGGTATCAAATATTTTGAAGGACTATGCGTTAAACAGAAACCTTCCCAAAGTCATAGTACCTCCTTACAATGCTCATTCTGTGAACTCAGAAAGCAAAAAAAAAACCCCAGTTAACTGTTTCAGATGTTTTCTGAAATTTGTATTAGTTGATGGAAGGTCCATTTCCTAATGGTTGGGAATAAAAGTCTATCCTGATAGTTAAAGTCACATAAGCCAAATTCTCCAGTGTAACTACCACGAGGTAGATGTGCATGAAGTTGGTCAGGCAATTTCTTGGGAGGACTAACGGCCTGGAAATGTGGTATGGTGGTGGAAATGCCAGGAGGGATGGTAAGCAAAACAGAACATAGCTAGAGAAGTCTGCAGAGCTCTGAACCCTCAAAGGGAAGCCTAAGGTGTATGCACATTGAAAAAAGTGCACCTAGAGAAGAGCAAACGTGTGGCTGGGTCCCTGGAAGTACTCATTAGCAGAAGTATCTCAGAGGGAACTGCAACTATATGACAAGTAAAGTGGGCTTCTGTTTGGGAAAAGTGTTTCGGACACATGTTTTTAGCATGGTGAAAAGAAGATTCCTCATGTCACAGAATGCAAAAAATCTGTAACCGTTGGCCTCCCACAAATATTTTTGCTGTAACAAGAATTGAAAAAAGCAATGGTAGCTTGTCTTATTCTTCTTATAATATTAACTAACAAAGTTATTTCATTTGCTATAAATGATCATGAATGATAAATAACAGATATTCCAAAGCATGAGATGCTTTAGATGAAGAGATGCTGTACTTTGACCTGGAAGGTGCCTGTTATACTAATTTCTTCTAGGGTGGATCCTGCAGCCTTGACTGACATGATCAAGCCAATAGAAAGCAAAGGGCTAGCTACTCATTTGAATAGTGGCAGCAGCAGCAGGCACCAAGTTTGGCAATGTTGCTTTATCCCTTTCTAAAATCAGCATGTAAATTTTATTTCCATTATTTAGCTTAAAAAAAGGAGGGGGGATGGAAATCAAATCAAGTAGAAAAAAAGGACCATATAACTACGGCCACTGCTTCTACTTAGTGGGATGGACAACAATAAGAATAAATAAGAATACAAAGACAGGATAAATCAACTATGCTACACATGTGGCATTACATCTTATTTTACTGTATTTGTTATCAAGATGACATGCAGTCTAGAACTTCATGGCAAACACACTGGCAAAAGCCATAAACCATGAGAATAACAAGGCTCGAAGGAACAAGGCTTACAAAGACAACCCCAAGGGTGACTTTCTTAGATACCAGTAAATAAATCCCTAAAGGCAAGGAACTAAAGTACAGCAACCCTAGCAACCACACTAGCACCCGAATTGAGGTCTGGAAGAGCAAAGATGTGCAGTTCCACACTGTCCAGTTGTGGGACACGGTTGCAACAGAGTCAAAACTCGTAGGCCTGTAAAATTCCACCACGGGCGTTGAGTTCAGAGTCTGGGGACTTTCTCTTTGTACTTCCATGATTGTTATAACCAGACAATTAGAAGAGGTGTGAGAAGGGCTAACCAGAGACGCCAACCTTTTGGGAGTCAGCAACAGTTCTGTTGGGTTGTCTGGTAGGCACTTCTTTCCCTTTCCCCCACAAGCTAAATTCAGAAGGATGTTGTTGTCATCAGGAAGACTACTAACCTCATCGTCTGGCAGGCACGTTTCAAACCTGCAAAACGGGCATACTATGACTCCTTGCGGGGAATCACCGAAGTCTATGATCTTGCAAAGGCATTTGGCACATACTCTGTGACAACACTCCAGCACTTTTGGTTTTCTCTGTCGCAGGTTATAGCGGTTGTAACAGATCTTGCACTCAAGCTCATCAGAGCTCTGGGTCTCCACAGACTCCTCTGGTAGTTGACTGGTCATTTCTTCTGATGGTTTTTAGACTTGCGGAAAGAGGAGTCAAGGGACGAAGAGGTCACTCAGGCTTATTTTAGAACTTTTTCCTGATGATCATATCACCCATCTCAAACAGGAAAAGAGGAGATGATGTTGTCAAAAAGCATCAGTAGGCATCATCCATTTTCAGCTTCTGCTAGGGATTGTGCACTGCATGTCCTTTACTCTGAGCCAGGCATCCATCTGAAAAAGATGACGTGGAATTTTTCTGGAAGAAAAGAAAAGAAAAAGGTGTAGCAGGTGAAATATGCAAGTTCCACTTTTTACAAGCTTAGCTTCCTTTGCTAAAAATACCTCTAAGGTAGTTTTTTTCTCTGGCATATGGGGCCTATATAGCAGTCATGCTGATAAAACTGAGTATCATGCTGCATGCGTTTGTTTTAGACTTTAACTTTGAGTGGCTCAGCCCATGAAGTTCTCGGCAGAAGCTGCAATCTCATCACTGATCTGTGACCGTTTGTTTAAACCCTGGTTTCCTAAGGAAATGAGACCTGACCCCTGGAGCTTTTCGTCTTTCTCTGTAACTTGTGAACCTCTGTCCAATTTCAAACAAATTGTCAGAGGGGCAGCAGTACTGAAGATAACTAAGTTTCTAAAAAAGTAGTGAACACTGGCAGCTGGGTAGAGGAGAGGGAGAGGTATTTATAATAACTACCATTTATCCTGGAAGGCAATGGTCAGCCAGCACACACCCACCCAGCCTCTGCTCTGAACAGGCAGCATGCTGCCTATTGCTCAGCCAGAGAGGAGGGAAACACAGGGGGAAGCTGGTGATACTCTAGGGAAATAGAGTTTTGGGGAAGGGAGTGGGTATGGAAGAGGGCTGGGGTTATTGTAAAGAGTTATGTGGGGACCTAGGTCAAATTTGGAAAAGATCAGGCTTTATTAATTTTGTGGAACAGCTCATTTCTCTGTCTCCACCTAGCTGCCAAACACAGATGACAAAAATGAGGTTTCTTTAGCTTGCAACAAATGTGTCCTTTAATGTGTGGATGCCAGGGTGAAGGCTAATGTGTCCCCCAAGGGCATTCGCCAGATGCACTGTCTTTCAAGTGTTTCATGGCTGCGACAGCTGTTTCACACCTCAGCTAAGGAGAGGCCCGTGGCATGCTTGTGCTGCTGCATCGCCATTCTGCGCAGCATTTTTGCCACCAGACCCATCAGCCTCGCTTAAATAAATGTATTGTCATATGTTGTAACCGTGCATTTTCACAACTTCAGGAAACAGTCCATGTATTATAAACAAAACATTAACTAGGACTATGTACTCTGGGGACCAATAATTACCAGCATTTACAAAACAGCTCTATCTGCCAGAAGATAAAAACTTCTTCCAGATTCAGGCATATGCTTGCTCACAGAGATGGGTGTGGCACTGCATTTTGCAGGCTTTCAAACTCATTCCTTCACTGCTAGAGTGAAGCACGGAAATTCCCAGAGTCAAATGATGGGGGCGGGCACTTGTGTCCAGCTGCCTCTTGCATTATCAATACATATCAGGCACATGGAATATGAAAAAAGTGGCCTATTTCAATAAACTTGTATCTTGACTATTAGTTTTAGTAAATGTTTGATTCCTTTCCGTTTTCCTTGGGAAGTTTTTACTCACTCCTAGCATTCAGATCTTTGTCCTTTTTTTGGGAACAAGGCAGGAAGTTCTCTCTTTTAAGCAATGTGCTCTTTCTGTCAATACATGTTACCTGCCAATCATCAGGTACAGTAAAGTCTCTTTCATGGGCCTCTTGTTCCTACCTTAAGGATTTTCCATTCTCTCTCTTAACTTCTGCACAATATAGCTTCTATAAGTAACGTAATTTCTAAAACTCACCTCCTGGATTTTAAAACAAAGATGTAATACTTCAGTCAATGCAGTAATGAAAAAAACATGACAACATAGTGAAGAAAAAAACCCATATTTGTTTAAGAATCTATAACAGACATGGCTCCCTCCCCATTCAATTTTCTTGACTTTCTTCCTGCCTTTTCCAACTTATTTCTTTAGTGCTTTAAAAGTTTTCATCTCTGCCTTACTGTTGTTTTTATTATTTGTACTGTGACTATATTTGTGGTGTGTTCCATTAGGCAAGGCAAACACGAGAAGGTTGATCCATAATTTTCAGAGTGTACAAGCTAAACATCTTATAAGAGACAAAAAGTACATGTTTTACAGATCTTATAACCTATCCTTTATCCTTCATTACACTGTGTGCTTCCTTATTCATTTCTACTACTCTTTTTATTTCATTCCAGATATCATCTTCTAGATGACTTTTAGGCATATATAAATGTCATGAGATGCTAACTTTCCAAAGGATGAAGAAACCACAAAATGGACCTAAAAAAGTGAAATGCCAGCCTACAGGAAGGCAAAGCACTGCTGAAAAGTTAAGAAGCCAAACAAAACAAGCGATGGTTTTGAACTTTTACATCTTGAGTATCATTCATCTTCTGTACCTGAGGTGAATTAGGATTACTAACATGTTCATCCTTCACTGCTAAGGCTGGCAAACGTTGTCCTATGACATAAAACTAGATTTCTGATTAACCAAAAATATTGCAGAAAATGGAAAAAATTCTTCTCATGGAAAATTGTGACCTTTCTCTGAAAACCCCCAACTAGAAAATCGTTGTATTTTAGTGTTTATCTTTCTAATGAATATTTCCAGGTTTTCACAAAAACCAGCCCACTTTCCAACCAATTCTGTTCAGACATGGATCACTTCTGCTTGAATCAGTTTTCAAACCTTCCTGATTCTATCCCCTCTAAGTGGCCAAATTTAGCATTAATACAAGGAGTAACAAGTCCCTGGGACTAGCAATGTTCCAGTTGCTAAAGTGGGACCATTAGCTTCATTTCCAGAACACAATGATCCTCCTATTGTAGTTTCTGTCATGAGCTACTCTACAAATTATTTTCAAACTTTTTTTTTCATGTACTAAACAAGAAAGAGCTACTTTCATCATCTTTCTCCCTTCACAGAGCCTCTTCAAAACACATGCACCAGTAATAAAACATCATTGATTGTTTTTTCTTTGGCTAAGTTTAGATGTTGAATTTCTCCTTATGTGTTCTAGTGTGATTACTGCTTACTACTGTTCTTCATTTATACATCTTTTCCTCTGAAAATTAAAATTTAATCACTAATTCCTATTAATGCTATTCATACATTTTTTACCTTCTCAGCTTTATGGTGGTTTTAGATGCTTCCTCTGTCTTTTTTGCTTTCTGATTTCTTAGGGAATTTTCTATTATTCCATCTCAATACCCACTTCCCTGCTCATTTTTTCTCTGCTGAGAACTGACACCTTTTTGAGCTTAATTAATGCTGCCCTGCTATTATATACACCACCTATACTAAAAAGTTCTCCGATCAGAGACTTATTAAAAATATAAGAAAACTGAGGATTTTAAAGAAATTGACTATTTCTTGAGAAAAGGAGACATTTCTTGAGAAATATGGCCAGCTACTCCTTCAAGCAACTCCTACTCTATGTCAGAGACTTTCTAGCTTGTCTTTTGCATGTCTCCCTGGTGGGTATTTACTGGAAGCAGGCAGAATAAGGAATTAAAGTAGGGAATAGATTAACTGCTGCCCCTCTGAATCCTGGTTCCCCACCAAAAAGGTGGCAATTTACATACTTCTGCTTGCTGTGTGTTGAAAGCAAGAGAAGCTGCAATACTACACAGAAAAAAGGGATTGTGTCTGTGTGTTCGCACTTTGTCCTCTACTCTTTGAGCCACTTTTTTAGATGCCATGAGAAGGTATGTCCCTATTATATGTTCCAATACTTCATTAATGTTTAGGCTTTTTAAAAAATTGGGCTGCAATCTGCATGTTCTTTCTGACCTTGACGTCCAGAAGGCAGTCAAGTAAAAACTTCTGAGTGCAAAAAAAGTCTAATCTCTTTCACTTCAAGTACAAAATTGCTATTGACTTGAGATCAAAGTGAGGTCCCATGTCTATTTTTAAAGCACCGTGTTTATTTTTATTAATTCTGATATTTTTCATGACTTTAAACTACTCCTTATGTCCAGTTTTCCACTTCAGCTTATTTATTTTTAGAGAGAGGTGTCTCACCTGCTTGTTTGATACCAACAGACACAATTTGTAACTAGGGAAATTTCAATTAGGTATTAGGAAAAAAAAAAATTCAAAAGTTGTTCAAACACTGGAATAGGTGCCAAGAGAGGTGGAAATGAAATGTCCAACCTTACAGATATTGAAAACTTGACTGGATACAACCCTGGTCAGGCCACTCTACGTTGGAATTTGGCCCTGCTTTGAGCAAAGGGGACTGGACCCTTGCTGGAGATTCCTTCCAACCCAAATTATTCTATGATTCTATGTTTCAGTATCCTGAACTCACTTTATGTGGTCTGTTTGAGAAGCTTTGTCCCTTACTGAATAAGGAATCAGGCTGACAATTGCTTATATAGCTAAACATCTCTCCTAGATAATAGTTCTTTCATTTAATATATGAATTCCTTTTTACAAGAAAGCCTAAACACCTTCTGCTATTCTGTCTTCCACCGAACCTATCTGATGGGATCAACACAATCCAACTGCAGAACTTTTCATTCCTGTGACTATTATGTAGTGCATAGCTGCTTTCCGAACAAAATATAAACTACTAGACACATACAATGATAACAGCATCCACTGCAGTTTATCCAAGAACAAGCACATCTGCTATACTCTGACAAGCACTTGTCTTTTGTAAGAGTTCTGTCAAAGCACTGCAGGAGTGAATCCTGTTCACGTCACGTTCCTGCTGCTGCTTGAGCTCTGACTCCCTCTCTTCCCCTTCCCGGTGCCACCTGTCCTGTACCTTGCAGACTCCTCTACCTGACCCTTTTACTAGAAAAGGAGAAAAGCTGAAGACAGAGAGGCATCTTCTGGATGGCAGAAGATTGCCAGCAGTCCCCACAGTGCTCCAGCTGACTGCTGGAGGGCACTCCCAGAAGC